ACCAATTATCTGAAAAGCCTCTTCCAGAAAATATAGGACTTAATTTTAATAATTACTGCAGTTTTAATAATTGCCTTGTTAGGACTTAGTTTTAATAATAACTGCAGTTTTGATAACTTCCATTTGACAGTTTCTGTAGGGAATTCGCTTGTATTTGTGTGTTGGGGGTGTTTAAGGGACAGTTACGTGTTTGGTAATTTTATGGACCTAGATTACCTCTCTAGCAGTTTCTGAGCTCTGGGACAGCAAGAAATTGCTGTTATTTCCGAAATGTGTGATTTAATCATATTTTTATTCTTGTTTGAGATAAGAAAATTAATGGGCAAGTGAGAAGAAGATGAGCAAGGAAGTTCATCACATAGAGAAGGGAAAGGATGATATTCAAGAAGCCATCACATGGATGAGTATCAATTGGCAGTTAAGAAGGTGGAACTTCCATCCTTCAATGGAGATGACCCTATTGGGTGGATTACTAATGCAGGAACTTATTTTTCAGGTCAAAATACTAGTGAAGACTAAATTAGCCAAGTATGGAGGGTTCTTGAAATTTAGACTTAAAAGCATAACTTAATCCCCACAAAATTGACTTATAAAGTGAAAATTGCACAACTTCTACTATATTGGGCATATTCTAGTCAAAGTGGGTCTCAATCCCTCAAGAGCCAACATTCTCCTAATTTGCACTCTGGTGCTTCACTCAACCTTTTTGGTCAACCAATCAATAGGTAGCCTTTCTTGACACACAGACAATCCACCCTAATAAGCCACAATTAAGGTGGCCTATAGGGTGATCACAATTATTCCAAGACACCCCTCACACTCAAGTCTATAGGCCTAGATTGTGGCAAAGCAAGTGGCCCAACAAGGAATATAGGATAGGCATTAATTCCATCTTAGAATTTGGGCTTAAGGTGTAACTTAATCTCACGAAACTGAGAAGGTGACGACTACCCAAGTTTATAAAAACTACATTGGTTATATCTCTAGTAAATGTGAGATATCAATCCCTCAAGAGCCAATACCCTCGTGGCTACACTTTGTGATTCTTTGATCAATCATTTTAGTCAATGCCTCTATAGGTGACTTTTTTGAGATGCTAATAATAACTTTGAAGGCTGCAATTAAGGCAAGGCAGGGGTGGCTGCAATTAAGGCAACTTTCCAACATTGTTTTCTGTGGAAAACAATTCCGTCCCTAGCACCAATGTTTTGAAAAAAAAATTGAGGTTGATGATATTGGATGATAACCCATAATGAGTAAGAAGGTAATTTCTTTGGAAGTTCATGAGCAGAACAAAGATATGTGAGTGTCAAGCATTGGGGCTATTTGGAGCCAACCATGAAGTAATGACTGAATGTAAACTATGAGAATGGAAGGAGAATTAAATGGCAGCCCGACGACTCTGACCTTACTTCCAGAGCCACCAGGTGATAGTCAAAATCGACTACCCCATCAAACAAATCCTGCGAAAACCTGAGCTCGCCGGGTGCATGATCGCCTGGTTGATAGAACTGTCTGAGTTTGGCATCCAGTACGAAAGTCGCGGACCCCTGAAGGCCCAATGCTTAGCCGACTTCGTAGCCGAGCTCACGCCGATCTCGATCCAAGATCCGACGCTCATGAAGAACGACCTAGCCCCTTTGATGAGCTTGACGACCTTCAAATCGGGAAACTCCCCGGACAAACCACAAAGATCAGCAGGCAGTTAACCCCAGAGCTGCGACAGCAACTCCAAGCGGAAATCCTCAAAAATGCCGACCTCTTTGCCTGGTCCAGCGCTGACATGCCCGGCATAGCCGCCGACTTCATCTACGACAAATTAGCAGTACACAAGGAGGCAAAACCAGTAGCCAAGAGGAAGAGGAAGGTCGGCGGCGAAAGGCGGGAGGCCATCGTCGTCGAAACGCAGAAGTTGCTCAACGTCGGCTTCATCCGTGAGGTCAGGTACACCACATGGCTGGCAAACGTGGTCCTGGTAAAAAAGAACTCAGGGAAGTGGCGCATGTGCATCGACTATACCGACCCAAACAAAGCATGCCCCAAAGACTCATATCCTTTGCCGAGCATCGACAAGCTAGTTGACGGAGCCTCCGGACATGCCCTCCTCAGTTTCCTTGACGCCTACTCCGGGTACAACCAGATAATGATGTACCCACCTGATGAAGCGCACACGTCTTTCATCACTGACCACGCCAACTACTGCTACCGGGTGATGCCCTTCGGCCTCAAAAATGCGGGAGCAACCTACCAGCGGCTGATGGATAAGGTCTTCCATCAACAAATTGTAAGAAACATGGAAGTTTATGTCGACGGCATGGTAGTTAAAACCATCTCGGCAACGAATCACGCAGCCGACCTCGCCGAGGTGTTCGCCCAAATCAGGAAGCACAACATGTGCCTCAACCCGGAGAAGTGTGTCTTCGGCGTCCAGGGAGGTAGGTTCCTCGGCTTCATGATCACCAGCAGAGGAATCGAGGCCAACCCCGAGAAGTGCAAAGCCATCATACAGATGCAAAGCCCGCAAACGGTGAAAGAGGTTCAACGCCTTGCCGAACGGCTAGTCTCACTATCCCGCTTCATCCCCAAACTCGCGGAGAAGGCGGGACCAATATTCACCCTACTAAAAAAGCCAAAAAAATTCATATGGACAGGCCAATGCGAAGAAGCTTTCCGAAGCTTCAAAACCTTCCTCACAACTCCGCCAGTCCTACAGAGGCCGGATCACAACACCGACCTCCTCCTCTACTTGGTAGTAGCAGAAAACGCCATCAGCGCCGTCATTGTACAAGAGCACCAAAAGATACAGACGCCTATTTACTTCATCAGCCGAGTCCTCCAGGACGCGGAAATGAGGTACCAAATGATCGAGAAGCTGGCGTTGGCACTCGTCACCGCAGCCCGACGACTCTGACCTTACTTCCAGAGCCACCAGGTGATAGTCAAAATCGACTACCCCATCAAACAAATCCTGCGAAAACCTGAGCTCGCCGGGTGCATGATCGCCTGGTTGATAGAACTGTCTGAGTTTGGCATCCAGTACGAAAGTCGCGGACCCCTGAAGGCCCAATGCTTAGCCGACTTCGTAGCCGAGCTCACGCCAGCTGCTACTGAGGAACCCCAGGCATGGACTTTACATGTTGACGGGTCCTCCAACTCTAAAGGAGGGGGTGCAGGCATCATTCTGGAAGGGCCAAACCAAGTCAACCTGGAGCAATCCCTCAAGTTTGGCTTCAAGGTGACCAATAACCAGGCAGAGTACGAGGCGCTCCTCGCTGGATTGAGATTAGCCCGCGATCTCGGAGCCCGAAAAGTGAACTGCAAAGTTTAAGAGTTCAAGCTTGAGTGCACATGCTAGAAATGTACGCAATGGGGAGAGCATGAACTTATGCCAGAGATGTTTACCTTAGGATCTCGAAGGTAGTGAACAATTTCTTCCAGCTCTGCTTTTGCCTCATCCACACCTTTTACATCATTAAATTTTGTACTTGAGTCCACACTGGGCTGCACTTCTTCATTGATACCAAGTCCTGGGAATAATGAAAAAACAAACCAAATAACATGTCTACTAAATTCAGATTCAATAAAAAAAAAAAAATGAATATGAACAGGCTACGTTGACAAGGAAATACCTTTACTAATTCCTTTATCTTCAATGAGTGCTCCTACACCAGAAATCAAGAAAAAGACCACTGCAATGGACCTTAGTGTACGCCATAGCTGATCTTTTATATTCCCACCTTCCCTAGCCACCATATGAATTGGATTATTAGCAGTTCCAATAGGGGTGTCTTTTGTTGATTTTCCCGCATTTCTAAAGGCAGAAAGACCAGCAGCTGCAGTTTCTTCCTCACCCATTGAATTGGACATACCTGGAAATTCACATCATCTCTGGTCATAATTTATAGTCTATATATGCTACAGAAATAAATGCCCAAATAGCTGATGCAGTAAAGATTAATATCACTTTTGACACAAGTAATAATTCAAATGCTAATTTTGTCAGCTGAATATAGTTTTTCTTGCGTCATTTTGTTCATGCAGTCATAGAAAATCATTCTTGTCCTAGGACTACTAATAAGGTCAACAGAGGTATCATATTCCTGATGCTGAATTTCATCACAGAGAAAAACAAGATTCTTTGTAAATGCGATTAATACTGCGAGACATTAATTGAACTTCATAATCCCAGGAAAAGATTATTGACTAACAGTGCAACCAGACAAATGGATTATTGGCACAAGGATAACAGAATAACGAAACAATTTACTGTAATAGTATTTTACATTAAGTCTTATTTACTGGCTTGAGAGAAACAGATAATTACAGATGATTTAACCAATTAGTTCCATTATTTCAATAATATATTGATAACCTACAGATTTCCCTGGCAGTTAAAGTCATCAAGGAATTCCAGATAAATGAAAGATATCAAAGTACACCTTTAAAAGAGTGTGCATGTGTCTAAGAGCGGGGAGAGAAGACTACACAGAAGGCATTTAGAAGAGTCATTACCATCAAGTCTGCAAACGAAAAAGTTCTCAACAAAATGGAAATGAAGTCATGCCTCTGGACTCTTAGCGTACAACCAGGAAAAAAAAAAAATTCCTTTACACAGACTAGTAAGTAACCCAGCTTTCTAATCAAAATATCAACACTTTGGGCATATTAAATATGAATTTAGGGAAAAAAAAATTACTCGGTCAATGAATTCTGGCAGATACAATTTGGCCACCAACACACCCTTATGAAACACAATACCCAGAAAGAAAGCAGAAGCAAGAGAACCAAATGGCAAAAACCTTATATCATTGAACAATGAATAAGATTAGCAGATCAGTAACCAATATTGACAAGAAATATAGGTCAAAAAGGCCAAATCACAAGCATTGACAATTAGGGTAATCAATCATATGGAAATTAGCAGTTTGAGCCAAATAACCACCTCTCCTTAATGTCTTCAGTAATTCACTTTCATCAAGCCTGTCAACTTTCACTAATGCTTTTACGTATTCAGAAAGAGCTGAGGGACTATTATGGAGAGATGGCTGGCTTTCAAATACTCTAATCACAGCCTCGGGATCATTCTGATGGTAAAGTTCTTTGAGATAAGAAACTTCAGCTGCTTCATCTGCATCACGTGCTCGACGAGCTATACTGCCAAGATAGCTAGACTGAAATCTCTCCTGGGCACACAAAAGCCTATTCCCTACAGGATTTTGAAAGTAAGTGAAAAAAACAAAAGCCAAGTGCCAAATGGGACATAATATTCAGTAACTTTGAATTTGAACATATATTGAAAGAAAAAAGCATGAATAACTTCACATATACACCAACCAACCCCCACCTCCCAAGAGAAAAAAAAAATGATGAAAGAATTCCACAAGACAACATTCTATAATGTTAATTCCCAAACCAACATAATTAGGGAAAGTTAAAGATAAATTAAGAAAAGCAAAATCCGTTACTTGTATAAGCAAATAACATGAAGTAAACAACAAAAATAATGCATGGTCCGGGGAAGGGGGATTTATACCTGCACGATCTCCAAACTTATTCACAGAGAAATTGCTCGTAGCAAACAGACTTTTGACCTGTCCAAATTTGGATTGACGTCTTGCAACCTGTAAAAAGAAATCACAAAAGTGACTGAAACATTAAAGAAATCCAAAATATAGATTATATATGGCAACTAGGATTGTGCAAAGATAAGCCAAATGCAATCAATAAAACAAACAACTTGCTTAATGAACACAAGATCAAGTTCTCATGCTTGCCTGTGTCTTACACTGTTTCTTTAAGTTTTTTCAGTACACATAAGCGGCAGCGACGTTTGAACCTAATTCCTCATGCAAACTACCAAAACACCTCACCACTAATAAAACAATATAAGTTGAACAACTATAAGTTAAAAACCAGCTGTTAAAAAGCTGATACTTGAAACACCACAGGATCTTCATTCATAAGTCCACAAACCAAAGGACCATATATCCCAACAAGCTGAAATCAGTATGGACGCAATCCTCACTGCTCCTAAAAACTCTCAAAAAAGCACTAAGACAATCATTTCCTATAAGGGAGAGATGGCTGGCTTTCAAATACTCTAATCACAGCCTCGGGATCATTCTGATGGTAAAGTTCTTTGAGATAAGAAACTTCAGCTGCTTCATCTGCATCACGTGCTCGACGAGCTATACTGCCAAGATAGCTAGACTGAAATCTCTCCTGGGCACACAAAAGCCTATTCCCTACAGGATTTTGAAAGTAAGTGAAAAAAACAAAAGCCAAGTGCCAAATGGGACATAATATTCAGTAACTTTGAATTTGAACATATATTGAAAGAAAAAAGCATGAATAACTTCACATATACACCAACCAACCCCCACCTCCCAAGAGAAAAAAAAAATGATGAAAGAATTCCACAAGACAACATTCTATAATGTTAATTCCCAAACCAACATAATTAGGGAAAGTTAAAGATAAATTAAGAAAAGCAAAATCCGTTACTTGTATAAGCAAATAACATGAAGTAAACAACAAAAATAATGCATGGTCCGGGGAAGGGGGATTTATACCTGCACGATCTCCAAACTTATTCACAGAGAAATTGCTCGTAGCAAACAGACTTTTGACCTGTCCAAATTTGGATTGACGTCTTGCAACCTGTAAAAAGAAATCACAAAAGTGACTGAAACATTAAAGAAATCCAAAATATAGATTATATATGGCAACTAGGATTGTGCAAAGATAAGCCAAATGCAATCAATAAAACAAACAACTTGCTTAATGAACACAAGATCAAGTTCTCATGCTTGCCTGTGTCTTACACTGTTTCTTTAAGTTTTTTCAGTACACATAAGCGGCAGCGACGTTTGAACCTAATTCCTCATGCAAACTACCAAAACACCTCACCACTAATAAAACAATATAAGTTGAACAACTATAAGTTAAAAACCAGCTGTTAAAAAGCTGATACTTGAAACACCACAGGATCTTCATTCATAAGTCCACAAACCAAAGGACCATATATCCCAACAAGCTGAAATCAGTATGGACGCAATCCTCACTGCTCCTAAAAACTCTCAAAAAAGCACTAAGACAATCATTTCCTATAAGGTCTACAATGACTTAAAAAAAATTATAAAAAAAAAAAAAAGGCCTTTCGCCTCTGTAGCAAAAAGTTTTGAAATTTTCTTATCCTGGAGCAAAACCAGAAGAAATCCATTAGACCCATTATCCATTCAAGTAAAAAGAATCTGGAAAACGGATGATGGAGAAAAGGGTACGAAAATCAATAAGCCAAATCAATAAAAGGTCAAAATTAGGGTTTCGGGAACAACAACAACAAGGGAAGCATTGACGATGGATGTGAATAAGAATGAACGTACCTGAGTTATCAAATGCCTCAAAGCCATGCTAGCGAGATCGAGCTATCGCAATTGAATTACGAAATCGTTGCAAAGTGCAACGTTAATGTGCCTGCTTAAGACCGGTGTCTGTTTGAGATGCTTGGATGAATAATTGATTGATATATATAATTCTGCAATAAACTGATAATGTTAGATATGTTTAACGATTTTGCCATTTTCGTATCTTAAAATATAGTGATTTTTTATTTATTTGTTTTCTCCTCTAAAAATATATATATTTTAAAAAATCTACGTAGCTTGTTTTTATTTTTTAGTTATTTTAAACATATATTTATAAACTGAAAGAGTAAATGAAAAAATATATATATAATTATACAGGAATTAAATAAATAAATAAGTCGAGATATTTAAAAAGACTATTAAATATTATTTTTAAAATAATACTCAACGATAAATCAATGAAAAAGATAAAAGGACTGTATAGAAAATGAAAGTGTAGATCGACTAAATTATAACTCAATTATTTTATTATAAATATAGATTGAATGAAAAAAAAATCATGAGATTTTGATAGACTAAAATCATGATTTAGCTTAGCATTATTGACGTTTTATTATTAAATAAAATCTCAAGTATTATAAGTGGGTTTAGTTAACACTAAATTAATCAGTGAGGATTGTTTTACTCTAATTAAGAATCTTAAGTTTATGTAATTGGTTAAAAACTTTTAAGATAATTCAATTTGTTAAAAGTGAATCAATTGAACATTTATTTATTATAATGTCTATATATTGTTGATTTTAAATAAAAAGGTTCAAACATTATTTTTCTCGTCTTATTTTTCTATTTTAATTTAATTTTTCAAGCTTAACATTTTTTCTTTAAATTTTTAAAATATTTTTATTTAACCAAGTTGATCCTTTTGTAATTTTATAATATTGCTTGGTTCAACTTGATGAGATGCGGCTCAAGTCAAAAAAATGGTCACAACTTACTCAAGAATTTATAATATTTGGTATTTAAGTTTTAAGTCGATATTAAATATGCATCTTTTTAACCTGATCAATAAAAATTATGTCACAAATAAATTTAGGTCAAACTCAATTTGACCATGAATTGGCCGCATCCTTTTTTTTTACGTGTCTAATAAAAGTTTAATAATTATGAGATAAATTAAATAAAATTTCAATAACCTATATAAATTTATGCTAATATATATATATATATATATATATAAAAGAGACAGAGAAAGATATTTTTTCACAACTTTTATAAAATGGTATATAAGATTAATATATTATATATAAGTATTGTTCATATTAAAAATTATTACGACAATAGTCACATTATAAATTTTAATCTTTGTCTTAAATGTAGTAATAGGATAAATTATTTATTTATATTTTATCTATTACATTAAAATAAATATATTAATAAAAATAATTATCACTTTAATTATCTAGTTTGAATTTTGGGAAAAAAAAAAGAAATTAACAAAAATATTAAAAATGTCTAGTCAGCTAAAAAAAAACTTGTAGCATGTAAGGTTGGACTTGGATATCAGTTTAGAAGATTGTATTAAATTTCTACATTAATGGGTCATTACCTCTATCCATAGTTTGTTAGCTTAGGGAGGAATTTTACAAAATTTTAATGGGAATTTTATTGTGAGTTATACAATTTGATATTTGTTCCAAAAATTCAGCATAATTATTGTAATATCCTAATTATTTAAAAATTATTAAAACGGTGTTTTTAATTAACTAAATGAGTTTTATAAATATTTTAAAAACTTTTATTTATTATCAGGATTTTAAATTAAATAATAAATATTTGCGAAATTGTTTTGTAAAATATTCACTAGAGACATATATGTTTTTATGATATTTTGTTATAATAAGTATTCAAAGAAAAATATATATTTCTATTATAATTATTTTATATATTTTATTTTATTTATGATTGTGTAGGGAGAAATATGTTTATTTTATATATTATTTATAAGTTTTAATCTTTAATAGAAAGGAAATGTGACTATGGTTTAATTGTTACTACATGATTAGACATGGGTTAGGTGTTTTTAAAGGGGATTAATGTCAATTTTTCTTTATACGCTTCTCATCTTTCTCATGTTTCTCACTTTCCTCTCTTGTGTTTTTTACTCTAAAGAAGTTGGAGAACTAAAGATCCTTAAAGATACCCAAAGATCCGTGTCTTTTTTATCAAGGAAAGGGGGAGTGAGTAGTCTCATTCTACGCATGAGGTATATACTAAGTAGTGAGATTGTCTCCAATCTTTTTTCTACTGTATGCTCATAGGAGAAATCTCAATTTGTGAGTTATCTTGTGTTATTGTTTTGCATATGATTCTTTAGTGCTCTACTTGATGTTATTGACATGTATGTGTTTAATTGCATGTATCAAACTAATCTTGTGGATCTTGGATTGTCAATGCGTTTCTATGAGAACCCTAGGGAATGAACGTATTGAATTAATATGGAATAATTGAGATGAGCATGTAGGAATGTGAAATTGATGTGGGGTTTGAGTAATTGATGGCTTTATAAGATGGTTTTAGGCTTTTAATCTTTGATTATATTATTTGGATGATCACTTATGGTAAAATTTGGTGATGAGATGAGACACAAGTTCAAAATAATTAAAGTTTGTATCTATCAAATTGTGTCATGAGTGTGACTAGTAAGTCACGACTATGACACATCCTAACCTTGACCTTTTTTAGAAATGTTGAGCAAGTCATGGGTGTGACTAGTGTCACAACTGTGACCTATGAGTCATGAGCGTGATTGACATCATGGTTATGATTAGTGAGTCACGACTATGACACATTCTATTGCTTCTTTTTCTCATTATTTCCTTGTATTTTCTCCCTTTTTTATCACTTTTATTGCTTAAGATGAGTTATATTTATGAGTTTGGTATAACTCGAGAATGGTTAGCTTTAAGAATGTGATAGGTATTAGTAATGATAAGGGGGTAGTGGAGTTAATGTTCAAAAATTATGAAAATGATTAATGTTCCTATAATGATTTCAATTGAGGTGTTTAGTGGCCTGGTTTAAGATCAGAACTCATAATAATAGTAGTGATACAAAAAAGATTAGGTGATAAGATGAATGATAAGTTTAAGATTGATCTTACATATCAAGACTTGTTAATAATGGTGATATGATATGCTTGTGTGTGTTGTGTTGAACATTATTACCTTTTAAGAGTTTAATATTAGGAATGGTATTAATGTGTGATATCAATAAAGTTGCAAGACTAGTTAAGTTATTAATTTAAATACTTAGTTTGATGTGATCTTAGTGATTACGGTTGATGTATTATTAAATGATTAGATGAGTTCATAATGGTTTTATCTTGAGGTGTATCAGATGATATTGTGTAATCATTGTGCTTAAACTATGAAAATATGACTCTTGTGTTATACAATGTGTTGTGTATGTGTTGGCTATCTTGTCCCAAGAATGTATTGGGAAAAACCCAAGTCCCACATCGACTAGAGATTAGGCAATTAAATAGTATATAAGTGGAGAGCAACCCTCACCTTACAAGCCGGTTTTGTAGGGTTGAGTTAGGCTTCAATCCACTATTCTAACATGGTATCAGAGCCATTTAGATCCACTTTAAAAATGGGCCACCCACCATTCATTGATACATGCACCATGGGCATGAGGGGGTGTATTTCAAGTCCCGTCAATTAGAAAAGGGCCACCTACCATTCATTGCTACATGCACCATGGACATGAGGGGGTGTATTCAAGTCCCGCCAATCCTAGATCATTAAAAAGGGCCACCTACCATTTATCCACGTACCAAGCCCAATAGTGCTGGACGTGAGGGGGTGTATTGGGAAAAACCCAAGTCCCACATCGACTAGAGATTAGGCAATTAAATAGTATATAAGTGGAGAGCAACCCTCACCTTACAAGCCGGTTTTGTAGGGTTGAGTTAGGCTTCAATCCACTATTCTAACAGTCGAGTATAAATTTATGTTAATGTGAGACATGATTGATATAAAGGATGTGAATTAGTATATGGTGTTAGAAAATCGTTGTGTTTGGATCTTATGGGAGTCATGTGATGGCAAACTAGCAAATTGTGAATATACATAGTGATAACATGATATTGCATCGTGTCTCATGTGACATGCGTCATATGCATGCAAATCAACAAATTGATATATATATATATATATATATATATATATATTTTTTTTTTTTTTTAACTAGCGCTACATGCATATGCAAATTATAATCTATGTCAATTGCATTACGTGTGTGAATGTGTATTTGTGTGTTGAGTAACGTGGTGAATTGTGATTAACCTAATTGTACCTTGGTGTTATTAGTTTAATTGTATATATATGTTGATGATACTTTGTTATTGTGTGTGTTTGGCTATCCAACCTTATTTTACATCGTGAGTTAGATTGAGATATTTTTCACTTCTCATTTCGTGTGTTGTGCTTGGTATGTATGTTGTTATAGGTGAGGTTCTTCATAACGTTGGTGATAAGGCTTAGACCTTGTGTTAGTGTGCTATGATAGGATGTAACATTGAGACGTAATTAACATTTTTTATTCTTGTTATTTAATCGTACCTTAAGATATGGTGTTTGATTTATTTTGTAATGTTTTATTAGAGGTTATTATTATTGGAGTAGTGACATGTTTAATTGTCATGTGATATCCTCTTCCAAACTTGATAGTATCTAGTTGGTCATTCGTTTATGAAATCAGTTTTTGGTTAAAACATTCATTATTATACTTATCGAGTACATATGGGATAGTAGGTGTCACAATTATGAAGACACTTACAAAGGAACTAAACCTAACTTGTAAGTTTCATGCATATCATGATTGAGTTTGACTCTTGACTAGGTTTGATCTCACTTTAAATAGGTGTGAGGTAATGAACCTTAGCATGCATCTAGTTCACAAGATTAATGACTTAGCATAACTCATATTAATGTTATGTTATAACATTTTCTTTGTGAAGGCAATCATGTTATAGATGATTTGACATAGCACAATATCTGTTTTTGGACACAACAAATCATGCTTTTAATTTTCCATATTTTTTGTTTGTTTACTTTGGGTAAATTTTAATGGTATAACTTTACCAAAGGGATTTAGTTAGTTTGGAACT